GTGGTGGCAATGGAGGGATTTGCATGAGAGGGTCTGGGTAAGCCCACTTAGAACACCACAAAAGGCTCTGAGAACACACAGCGCTCAGAAGGCAGTGTCTGCGTCCTGCCTTTCCCCTGGAGGAAGCACTATGACTTTCTGCTCCTCACACCCTGTACTAGAGACACAGGGTCATGACCTCAGAGGACAACCTCACCAGAGGACACCTGAAAGATCTAGAATGCACCCCTACTTTTTTTTCATCCTGCAGTCAAGGGTGGGGAGCTGACCTTCACTGCAAGGGAAGATCCTCTCTCAGCCTGAGTGACAGCAGAGTGTATGGTTTTGTAAATTGTGAGATGCCTGCTGAGCCTGGAATAGAGATGGAGGCTAGCTGAAGCTTGTTAGTACTCTGGATGGATCTTGTGATTTCTTGTGCAAGGGCTGGGAGCAAATCAGAGAGCAGAGTCAACTGAGCCACACTCCATCACAGAGGTGTTTCTTGACACCGGCCCCAATTCCACTCGCACACAAGCCTCTCGCTTTTTCTCCGTTTCCTAAAAGTTACTGTGATTCTTCTCTTTGGTCGCCAACTCAGTTCAGCCCCAAGTAAGGTGAGCTTGCACTATGGAGGTTTATAAGTGGTGAATGAAGAACTGAGTCACCCAAGGCTTACTAGATAAAGACTTACCTTGTCCTGGCAGCAACGTGTTCACCTTTGTCCTAAATGACAGAGAAGTGTGTGCAGGCTGACATCCCTGAGTCCCACACTCTAGAGACCATTGCTTCCTACCCTTTTCCACCATCACCGATTTTATTTTTTTTTGAGACAGAGTCTTACTATTTATTCTTCACTGGCTTAGAATTTGTTGTGTAGGCCACATTGGCCTTGAACTCAGACATTCACTTACCTTTGCCTCCTGAATGCTGGGATTAAAGACAGGTACCACCATGCCCACCCCTAATCTATTCTTATTCTTCTCATTATTATTAACACTGAATAGCGAACTTGTTTTATTATTCACTTATTTCTGTGGTAGTGGGGATTGAACCTAGGACCCCACATGTGTGACATAAATGTCTAACTAGTTCCTTTTATTTGTTTTTAATTTATTACTATGAATAAAAGGATCAGTTTTCTTCTCTTATGAAATATAAAGGGTTCGGCACACAGAACATATTCTTCTTTCTCCTTCTTCCACTTGAGAGAATTTGTAATTCATTTATTTTCATGTAGTGTAGATACATAAAGTTTAAAATCTTTGATTCTGTTCTTCCTGCTACAAGTAGTCTAATATTATTGCTAGCGTTGGACACTGTTTGATTGTATCCTCCTACCCCTCCGAGAGGTCATGTGACTGGCACTTGGTTCTCATGGTGATAGGCTCTGTGGAACTTTACAAAGTGTAGCCCAATGGGATATTGTTAGGTGCTCTGGGAATCCCATTCTCAGGAAGTCCCTGAAGTTTTTGAAGCATAGTTGTTACAGAAGGATCAAGCCTGGCCCCACCCATGTCTTAGGGATTTCTGGCTGGATAAGGGATCGTTCTTCCCTGTGTACTCCAATCATCCACCGTGAGACTCATCTCAGAGCCTGACTGATGCTTGAACTTGTAGTTTCCAGAACTGTGATCTAAATTAAGATATATTTCATTCAGGAGGCCATGTCAAGCAATAAAAATCTGACAAATAAATAACCACATACAGAAGATTTCTTCAGTGGACAAATTCAGCAAATACACAATAAAAACCTTGCTATGGACTTAAGTGTGTCCCTCCAGGAGTTGTGTGGAAATCTCAGCCCCCCCTTATCTCAAACTGTGACCACTTAGGGTAGGTCATAACCAGTAAGAGTTGTATCCAGGGTGGCATGGGGATAAGAGCGGGTGATGGGAAATGGATACAATTAAGGTCCAATGTATGCATGAAACTGTTGTGTGACAGATTCTTCCCGAGGAGTTGGAACACCCACATCTACTCTCTCCAGGTAGGAGAGGGTAGACAGGGCAAAGTACAGATCCCACTGAAGTGCCAAAGTCCAGCTTGGTGAACCAATGGCTTTTGTTGGGGTTCCCTACAGGAGTATGGATGAAGGGTCACTTACAGAAGCATAAAGGACTCAAGGTCAGCTGCATCTTCAAAACCCACCCTGGTATAGGTGACAGTTTACAAAACCTGGGGCGCTGGAATGCACTGCACAACTGCAGGCAGCTCTACAGGTGGGGGTGTCCTGCCCAGGTGCCCCAGGTGGTCTGAGCCTCTTCCAGGCAGGTGGTCCGGCCTCAGAGACTTCTTTGTTTCTTGGCTTGCCGGACAGTAGTTCTCAGCAGTCGTTGCTGTTTATATCTTCTTGGGGAGGCAAGGGTCCTAGGGAATCTGATCAGCTTCCCCGACTTCCTGAAGCTATTTTGAAACTTTTGCTTACTTTCTTTCTTTTTACAAAATATTTATTTAACTGTACACCTGTTTGTTATGTATTTATTTTAGGAGTAAGATTTGAGCCAGAGACTTAAGACCTCTCTCTGGAGACCTGGCTGCCCTAGAACTTGTTATGGCGACCAGGGAGGCCTTGAACTCACTGTGATCTATCTACCTCTATCTCCCAAGTGCTGGGATTAAAGGCTTATGCCACCAGGCTGGCCTACTTTCTTTCTTAATGAGCTTCTGTGAAGGATGTTGTGTTTGAATCTCTAAGAAAATGCTATACAACTATTGTGGAAGAATAAAATAAGATGCACAATAAAAAGAAGACGTGATTAGGCCAGAGAGACAGAAGTTGGTCCCTGTGAAGAAGGTCCCATTTACAAGCTACAGAGAGAAGGCTCATAAGAAACTGGATAAGCTTGCTGTGTTCCTCACAGAATGGCTAAATTACTCTGGCAGGGGTTTGGAGAAAGCTGAGTTTTCACACACTGCCAATAGGAAAGGAACACAGCTTAGCACTATGGAAAGTACTTTTGCATTTCCTGGAAAATTAAACATGTACTTTGTATTCTACCCAATGCTCCACTGTGGCACATATCCCAGGAAATGGAAAGCGTTGTTCACTTAAAAATCTGTACAGGCACTCTGAACTCATCTTTATTTATAATAGCTAGTCTGGAAACAATCCCAACACCCTCTCACTTGTGACATGTGGAAAAACCTATGTGATCTTATCATAGAATCCTGCTCTATCATTAAAACGAGTCAGCGATGGACTATTGGTGCACACTACAACCTGGATGACACCTAAGGACAGTATGCTGAGAAGAAAAATACAAACTCAAAGTTAGTATGTGAGTCCGCTCACATAACACTTCTGAGATAATGAATTCTCAAGTGGGCCTGGGAAGATAACTCAGCCAGGAAAGCGCAGTTTTTGCAAGTCTGAAGACCATGTGTGATGCTTAATGTTTATTGTCTGTCTGATAGGATCTAGAGCCCCACCTAGAAGACAAGGGGTATCTGGGTTAGGCTAGTCTCTGGGAACCTCTGAGAGGGATTATCTAGATTACATTAAGTGAAGTGGGAAGTCCCACCCTGAATGCGTGTGTCTCCATTCCATGGACTGCGGTCCAGGATGGAATAAGAAGGAGAGAACCGGATGGGCACGGAGCATTCATTATTCTGCTTCCTGACAAAGGGTGTGATGTAGGCAGCAGCCTCAGGCTCTTGCTGCGGTGACAGTCTTGTCATGACAGCCCTCACCTTGAATCATAACTCAAAATAGACCCTTCCTTTCCCAAGTTGCTTTGTTCAGATATTTTGTTGCAATAACAAGATAAGTAACTAATACACCATGTAATAAGCAGGGTGTGGTGGTGCCTGTAATCAGTGCTCCAAGGCGGGAGACAGGATGGAAGGTAGGATCCCTGGAAGCTTGAAGGCTAACTCTCCTGGCCTGTGTGGTGAAGTCCAGGCTAATGGGGGTAGGTGTCTCAAACAAAAGGTGAAAAGCACCACACACACACACACACACACACACACACACACACACACACACGCTCACATGCTAGCATGCCTAGCACACACGTGGATGCACATGTACACATGCATGCACAAACATGTGCACACATGCACACCACATGTAAACTAGAATACAATGTTATAAAACAACGGGCAGGGCAGTTTGTAGCTAGACTACCCACACAAGTACATGGGTGTCTGTCACCTCTAATGAGAATACTAGTCTTCTGGAGAGGTATTATGACCAGACACCCAGGCAGGAAGGAAATGACCCAAGCATTTATGGCAATTAAGCAGTATTTAAATTTTTATCTTTTCTTCCAGTGGTTTTTGGGAAGGAGTAAAGGACAAGGTAAAGGGAGAGCAAAAGCATCGCCACAGCACATCTTTCTCCCACGTTCTCAGAGCTTCTGAAGCCCATCTGCTCTGTTCTGTCACACGCATAGCAGGGAGTTACAGAGCTCAACCTGGATGTCCAGGCAGTGGAAGGCTGGGGACATAGCTCGGCGGTAGAGTTCTCACTTCACTACAGTGCCAAAGAAAAAGCAGTCTCTAGCCTGCAGATCCAAAGATCTTCAGGTGTCTTCTTCTCAACTCTGAAGCCATGACAACATTTAGAGTTAAGGGTTATTCAGGGAACGAAATGCTAAATTTACTCTGAGGTCAGAGCTCTTTCCTTTATTCTCAGGAGAGACTACAGTGGGCAAGGGAGTACATTCTGCTTGTTACCCCTATTTCCTAAATTCCCCCATTCTATTTTTATCTGTCTCTTTAAATCTACAGCCTGTGAGCCAGCAGGGGTGGAGATATCCTTGGGAGGACAAAGAATGCTGTGTTTTGGCTAGTGCAGCCCTGTCTGAGTTGACATTATTTTGGAGCTGGCTCTGGCTGCTTTTGTATGTCTGTGCCAGCTGTCTGTCAGGGCTACTGCAGACATTGCTCAGAGTCACGGTACTCCAGCTTACCCAGCAAAGGCCCGGGATAGTAAAGATTGTGTGTGTGTGTGTGTGTGTGTGTGTGTGTGTGTGTGTGTGCGCGCGCGCCCTGATAATCATTCCTTTGAGAATCTTAAGGTTGATTATTATTTTTATTAACAATGCCACAATGAATTCCTCTCTGTCCCATTTTATTGTTTATTTTCCCACCCTGCCACGAAACTTTTATGCGGTGGTTAAAATTGTAGAATCATCAGTTTAGATTTCAAGCATCCCAGGAAATCTCCAATTTACGCACTTCAATTGCATAGTTCCAAATGAGGTATTCTCCTCTTGACATATCTGCGTTTTATTCTGGATGGATTCAGAAGCAGTTGCACTCTTAACATATCTGCATTTTATTCTGAATAGATCCAGAGACAGTTGCATCTGCATCTCTGTGTAAGGAGACCTCTTCTATACTGCTGGGAGCAGGGACTGAGACTAGGCACACAATCACATCTATTTTTATGGCCAACAGAGTCATAGTAATACTGATGCCGGACTCGTACCATCTCCACATTCAGAAAGAACATGTCACAGCAGCCTCTCCAAATCCCGGCAGCTGTCAGTAAGGGTGAATCTGCTCATTTTGATTATAGGCATGGAGGAGAGGATACATTTCTGGGTCTTTCTTAATCACTATGGTTCTTATATGGTTCTTATATTCAGGTCGTGATTACAGTAAGATCAAATTCTACAACCTTGTTCAGAAAACAGGCCCCAGATTCCTTAGGGAATAAGATCAATCAGGTCAACGATATTTCCTAACTCTGATACCTGCTTGTGTTTCCGTGGATGGACACGAGCTCTAAGGTGGTCTTGGGGCCAGCTTGAGGACATAGCCTAACCATTCTTCCTAATCTAGAACTCATAGCATACACATCGCAGTTATTTTGACATCTGTGACTGCTGGGGTCAGCTGACTGGAGCCCCAGGATTCTTCTGCTGCATCACAGGGCTGTGGGAGTGTGCGAGGCAATGCAGCATCTGAACCTTGGCGTCTGTCTCTGTAAACTGTGCAGCAGTCTCACGACGGAGGGCTACTATCAGCACCATGAGATGACGATCGCATAGGTGTAAAACACTGTTGCCGTTGCTGAAGGTGTTGTCTTGTGAGGGTGGTTCCCAGGAAACCATGGGGCTCTTTCATCTTTACTGTCAGGTACAGAACAATCGCAAACAAGAGAGTCGTGGTTTTGGTCAGGGGCTATTTCCATGGCAACAAAAGTTGCAAAGAAACAGCAAAAAAGCTTCAGAGGACGTTAGCTTGAGAATTTTATTTATGTCAAGGAGGATGAAGACACGATACTTCCAGATAAATACTTTTACTCAGGACAGGTAGAAAAAACTAAGTCAACAGTGATCTGTTGAAGACACTGGTGAGCCACCGAGGCGTGTCAGGTCACAGGGCTGAGAGGAGAGCAGCCAGCTGTCAAGTGCACAGAGCGGTGATCCCTCCGAAGTCACCTCTTAGGTCCAGGAAGTGCTCTTCCTCAAGGCTCCACTCTGCTGTTTGACATCTCCGTGGTGTCCTGAGGGATGCTGCTTCCGTTTTCACCCGTCTCAGGGGCATCCTGGAGAGCCCTCTGGAGAACCATCTTGAGGGTCTGATGCTTCAGCTGATGCCTGAAGGAGCCCACGAAGAAGTAAATGACAGGGTTGGCACAGCTGTTAATGGCAGTCAGAACAAGTGCTGCCAGATAAAGGCCATACCCTAATACACCGTAATTCTTAATCCAGATGAACAGGAACCAGTGGATGCCAAAGGGTAAGCCGCAGAGGAGAAAAACCAGCACGGTGAGCATGATGGTCGCATACAGTCTGGTGAGCTTTATCCGACCAGCACCACAGAACAACCTGGCCAGCAGGGCCAGGCTGGACAGAAAGAGGACCACAAACAATAATATCAGGCACGCGGCAGTGAAGAAGTTAGATGCCAGACACCGGTTGTTATTTTCGAATTTGTCCTCTAAGAAGCCACAAAAATACCGGTTCAGAATGCTGATCAATATGGACAGGGTCCAGATCGCAGCACACGCGACAGTTGATGTGTGTTTCGGGCGGCGGCAGCGATACCAGATTGGGCACAGGACAGACAGGCAGCGCTCGGTGCTGATGGCACTGAGCATGCTCAGGCCTGCTATGTAGGGAACCATCATGACCGTTTTAAAGGCTGGGAGGAAGATAATGTTGGGATAGGAGAACTTGAGAAGAAGCAGCGTGGAGTCTATGATGTGACAGAGGAGGAATAGGAAGTCAGCCACCGCCAGGTTTAGAATGTAGACGGAGAAGGCGTTCCTGCGCAAGCGGAAGCCCAGGAACCAGAACACAATGGCGTTTCCTGTCAGTCCAACCAGTCCTGAGATGACGATCATCAAGTTTGGGACCAGGGTCCTGCTGTTGAAACTCCCAGGCTCGGTTTTGTCCAGTGGATTTGTTGTGACCACCATCCCCGAGACTGAGGTGTTTAACCTCAGAACCCCTGCCACGGTGCTGCTGGGAACACAGAGAAGACGTGAGCCTGCTGTATGTATACACCTTTTATTAAAGACGTATTTTTATCAGCACATATTAAGTATAAGATGATGAGTTTTATTATGAGATTTCCAGACATGTTTATAATGTACTTTTTTAATGATCACTAATTAATTGCCAGGCCTATTTAGCATCTTATGTTTCAGGGGAGGTGGTACAGGTTGGCAGAGGTCAGGCAACTTACTAAAACCCCAAAGCCCTGGAACCTGCCCCTCCCTTTAGAATTATCACCACAGTGCATTAATTATATGTAGATGGGATTCAAGCCAGAAATGTTCAAATTAGTTTCAAGATGGCAATGAATATTGTAGATTAAGAAATCACAAGGCTTAAATGAAATACAGAAGGAGCGAGGAAAAGAAGCCAACAACATGGAACGAAGTAGTCATCTAGAGGAAAAAATCAGAACCTGGAAGCTTGCTTTGCTTGCTTTCTCCCCCCTTACAAAAGCAGTCATGATTTCAGGAATTCACAGAGGCAGGAGGATGCATTGTTCTTCAGGGATGCACAGACATCCAGTACCGAATGCACCCCATTCTTGATGCCCTGCCTAAGAGACACTGGCTGCCTTGGTCCCTATTTCCATTTAAGGAGTTTAAAAATTTGCACAGCTAGTTTTAGGGTCTGATGCATTTTCTTTTTCATGAAACCAGGAAATCCATAGCAACAAGTTATTTATACTTAGTTTGTTGACTAACCTACTTGGGTGTGTAGAATCCTCATTTAACACGGGGGAGGGGGAGAAGAGAACTAAGACTTAATCAGACAAAGGAATATTCCTCTGATCATACCATGCAAAGCATTTTATTACTTATCCCTGATCAAATGCAGTGCTGCTTAAGGCTTTCTCTCCTCACATCACTATACCCTCACACCATGATGCCCTACATCACTGCACACCCCACCATGGTGATCTACATCACTGCACACCCCACCATGATGCCC